CTTATCAGAAAATAGCGGCAAATTTGCCGGCGGCTGATTCCAATCAAAAATGGCGGCCAACTGTTATGTTTTACGTGGGGAGCGATCGCAAATAGTGGCGGTACAAGTCGCGCAGGGGCCGGTTGACGCGCAAAACACCCCGGCACGTTAGGTGAGGCTGTTAGGAATCTAGGGACGTGCAAACTTCGGTCTCAAAGTGTTCCGGCACGGTAAAACGCATGTTTGTTCATTTGGCCCAATGCACCGCTCCGCGACTGTTGTTAGGGCTAATGTAAAAGACTGCAAGCAAGAGAAGCCCTGCAACAGTCGCCGCGGCTAGGGAACCATCATTAGATAGTGTTAAATAATGTTTAGAGTTTAGATTCTATGGGTTTAGGTGCAACAAGTTGTTCAGTGTAATGTAGCCAGCTGCCACCGTGCCGCATGCCTGCGAAGCTGGTGTGTTACATCGCAGGTGAGGGCGGTTTTTAACCGGCTATACAGATGCAGATTTCATGGTCACGTGCACTGCAGAACTCACCCAACTAGTTCCACCACTCAGAACATTTGAGCGATCTACTACTAGGTTCTCCACTAGCTCACACAACTTCACCGTCCAAATTCCTTGTTCAAAATCATTTTACAGTGACAGTTTCTTTCCCCGTACGGCCTAGCTTTGGAATTCCCTCCCTGACAATTGTTTCTCACCAACCTACAATGTACAGGCTTTCAAATCAAACATTCACCGCCATCTCTTGACATAGCCATGTTTCTCTCATATTTCTAGTTCAATGCCGAGAAGTGGTCGTATAGGCCTTGCATTGAACCATTCCGTTAAAAAAAACCCAGATACTCACCCCATCAGGAAAATGTACTGTCCCTTGTCGTACATCTTGTAGTGTATACAGATACTCACCCCCGTCAGAAAAATGTACTGTCCCTTGTTGTACATCTTGTGTATACAGTTACGCACCCCCATCAGGAAAATGTACTGTCCCTTGTCATACATCCTGTAGTGTATACAGATACTCACCCCCGTCAGGAAAGTGTACTGTCCCTTGTCGTACATCTTGTAGGTCTCAATCCCCAGCTCCTTGGACAGACGGAGGAGTCTGTTCTGTGTAGGACCGACGTACGATCCCCCCACATCACAGTAACCAAAACCTTCCCCCTGCAAGTTATGTAGAAAGTAAAACACTTTCAATTGTCAATTCTTAGATGCAAGATTCAATATTCATGTACAATATATGATGTGAAAATAGATTTAAAAAAAAAAACAAGATTCAATATAAGTCACACAGTCATAGACATATGTCTATGACAACTAAAAATCAAAATTGGGCTTCTGACTGGTCAATTAATTAATTTATCAAATTAATTAATTAAAATATTAATGTTACACTGAATGATAAAAGGATGCAGCACTGATCTGGAGCAAGTTATGACACCCATGAAACCATCACGATTTTATGACGATGATAAAAGACATCTTTCTCACATATGCAGTGCAGGTGCGCCCTCCCACCCTGTCCCTGGCCTCCAGAACCAACACATCCAACCCCTTCTCATGGAGGAGCTTGGCTGCACTCAGACCTGGGGAAATAAAATTATTGATCATGGCAGCAATTTTAGAAAAACGTTAACTTTAATCTATAATTGGATACTTATGCAATAGGAATAAACTGCTAATCATTGATGGGGCAGTTAAAAACTTGTGTTTGATATGATGTGGCCTCGTGCCTATGCAGGTGTTCCCCAGGGTATAATGTTGGGCCCACTCTTTTCCTAAATGCCTCCAGGGTGCCAGTCTGTTAATTATGTGACCCTAAGTAATTGTGTAATACAGATCATGGCAATATGGCAGACAGAAGATATGTATGTTGTAATATTTATACACATACAATGTAATATATACAGACAACAGCTACACAGCAACAAAGTTAGTTTATAATACCATTTAGTTCCGCAAACTGGAAATAAAATCAATTATGAGCATTATTATCTTCTTGACCCTTGGTCACCTCTAAACCAAGGCCAATGGCAGGTTAACTGAATGTCGAAATGTTGAAGAAAAGGTGTACAAAAAGTTTGACTGTACTCCAATTTCACTTTGATGGCAATTAAGTTCACAATGTGACATATGAATCATGTAAGACTAAGACTAAGAGTAAAATGTACCAATGACCATGGAGTTAGAAGGACTCCATGGTCAGACTAACAAATAATGAAAATCAAGTTCTGAAAAAAGTAAAGCACACTTACCGCTGATTCCAGCTCCAACAACAATTACATCACATGTAGTCATTTTAGAGCTTTCAAAACAGACGTTGGGTTGCCTTTTTGCTTGGTCAAATTCAAACTGTTCACGGTCCTGCCTGAACCCGTGATTCAACGAGTCTCAAAGGTTACAATGTAGTTGGCGTACGTGCGAAATGTCGTAGTTGTGTAGACTTGTAGTGCTTATGTCTAACGCCTATTGTTTAACTAGTGGGGGCGTGACGCAAAAACTTCTCACATGTTTCCCCAAATAAACACTGTGAGAGGTAAAAGGTCAAAGTCCGCAAGGACAGGGGTCATTGGAACAATCCATTCGCTGTGTCGGTGGGTTGTGAATGAATGAATGAATGAACGAATGAATGAATGAATGAAGGAAAGGATGGATCGATGAATGGATGAATGAATGAATGAATGAATGAATGGATGGATGAATGAATGAATGAATGGATCGATGGATGAATGAATGAATGAATGAATGAATGAATGAATGAATGAATGAATGAATGAATGAATGAATGAATGAATGGATGGATGAATGAATGGATGAATGAATGACGTAACCCACCACCAGGCACTATGGTGACAGACGCTTGGTTCAGGTCATTGACCTTTTTGATTTGGAGAAGAAGAGGAAACTGAGCAAAAACAATAAGTTTTCCTTCAGTAAACATAATGATGGAATATGAAATGACAAAATAAGTCAATGATATTCATACTGGGCGAGAGCTCCAGTAAAACTTAAGCGACCATTCAGTCTCCTTTGAAGAACTTTGTGTGGGTCTCAGAAGAAGAAATCATCTTGGAAAGAAAGATATTATTTTTGCCAGAAAATAATAAGAATTTGTAAGAATGGTCCACGTACTGTAAAGCCCCACATTTCAACAACAATCTCACAGCAGCCTAAAGTTCAAATCTATAAAGAATGTAATCATCATATCTATTTTATTTATTTATTTATTTACCATTTGCACGTATATTAAAAACAATTACACAATCAAATAATAATAATCAAAGAATGTGCGGGGTAGGCCAGAAACCTGGGTGGTTTTTCTAGAGGCCTACCCCAAGCAAAGATAACTTATGACAAAACATATTTAAATTAAACATCAAAATTAAACAATGAAATAATTAAACAATGATTAATTAAACAAAATCAAGACACAGAAATAATAACTGAAGTGTATAAACTAACTAAAACGAAATTAAACAAAAGTCTTATACCTGTAATTCAGGTAGATGTTACAGATTAAACTGATTAAATAATTAACATAAGAATTAACGATTAAAAACAAAATATTAACAATAACAAGGAAAACAAACAAATCAGATTGTAGTTGTACTGGGATTTTGTAAGAAAAAGTTTTTAAGAAGTTTTTTAAGGGCCTCTACGAGTATACGCTATTGAGAATTGTTTTTGTGTGGATTTAGTCTTGATCGGCCTTAATTGGTTATGTTGTCTCGTATTGTGCTGGTGAATGTCTGAGTTGAATGTAAAAAAAAGTGTTGAATTGATCTGGTAAACTATTGGTATTATGAACGATTTTATGAACAAAAATGGCTATTTGTAATTTGTTTAAGTCATATACATTTATGATTTGTAGTTTACGAAACAGAGGTGCTGAGTGTGCTGTAAAGTGTGTGTTAGCTGCAATTATTCATCTTTGTTTATTTGACTTCACAGTTACTGTATCAAACATGAAATACTGTATGTCAGGAGAGGCAACAAAAACAGATTTTCCCTACAAGGCTGCTCCTCAGAAAATATGAATTAAGGAAAAGCGTAAACATAGAAAGTACTATGATGTGAGTGTGCGTAAACCACGGATCTTCTTCTTCTTCTTTCATTTTGAGGCAGCCGCCTTCAGACTAGCTGAAGATTCTGCTGCCTTTTTGTGGCTAATACAAGATGGCGTTCGCCAGGCCTCCATCCAGGAAAGTTGTGTAAAGTGCCTTTCGCAATTCCCAAGGGCACAAGATCGGTGACGTGGCAATGTTCGAACCCTGGCCCTCTTGGTTCCAAGCCAAACGCTCTGCCGTTACGCCACACGACCCCACATATACCAATAAAAAATGATATACAATAGTCATAGTTGTGTTAATCGTCTTTGTAAATGTATGGCAGCTTTCATAATTACTTACCAAACGTCCATGTGCTACTTGTGGCAAAGATGGGATTGAAAACTTGAAGGACATTTGATAGTTTAAGTTGTTCACATCTACATGGTGTGGATCGGCGTGGTCGAAAACTAATGTAAGGCCCTAAGGAAAAAAATGTTGTGTTTCCTGTTTCCCGACCGACCCTAGAAAAACCTACCGACCCTAGAAAAAATGGAATCCAGCAGGGGCCATGAATTTTTCGAGCTGATCGACCTTTTCTAGCTCCATGATCTGACACCTGAGTGACGAAACGTTGTACAATCCGTTTTTCAACAATGACATTGAAAATATATACTTTGTATATAAGTTTTACTTTCTTTAACTGTTAAACCGTATTGTTAGTATACGTTTGATCACTAGAGATTGCCAAAGTCTCATAAAAAAAAGAAAGAAAGAAAAAAGATAATCCTTACCTACCGACCCCAATTGTTTTAGGATTGAAACAGGAAACACATCATATTTTTTCTCGGCCCGAGTGGTAAAATGTCACCTACTTAAAATGTCAAAAATCCTTTTAATTCTTAAGGTTAATCCGTTAAAAGTAAAGGAAAGGGTAAACATGCACAAGCATGCACGACATTTAAAGGACACAGGAAGCTCTACTCTCATTGGCATAAAAGCCATTAGTATTATTCTAATCACTTTGATCCGAAGGACGTTTAATGCGCAAAAATGAGGAGTTTACTGGTAACAATTTTGGAAGACATGTGGCGCTATAGAAAACGAACACTACCGCTTTACATGATGCGCATATGCTGAAGAAGAAGAAGGAAGAAGGTCTCTCGTGCTCTTGCCCGAGTGTAGGGTGGTGCCCATCTCCATTTCGTAGCCCTTGGGCGACACACAGTTGTGCAATGCACTACAGCAGGGGGATGGTCAGCTGGTAGTGCTGTGTGTTTGACCTTCCCACACTCTTTCTCATATGTGCTGAGTGCTAAGCAGAGAAAGAAGTGTGTACCATTTTTAAAGTCTTTGGTATGACCCGGCCGGGGTTTGAACTCACGACCTCCCAGTTACAAAGCGAGCACTCTACCAATTGAGCTATTGCACCGGTATTGCATATGCTGAAGTCACTTTTTTCAACATACAAAAATACAATACATAGTGGTGACGCACTCAAGCAAAATGCTTATAATATTCACGTCACCATTAGACATAAAATAAAAATTACATCACAAAACATGGGTATCGTACAGGTAGCAAGAGAACAGAGTTTAGCTATTGAGATATTATAAATGCATACAGAAGTATAAATCAGTTGTTAAATCGCTTAGTTTCAGAGAGATATAGCTGTGTAATAATGAGTATTTGAGAGTTGAGTTTAGATGAAAGTAAAGGTGATCCATTAAGTAACAGATACACAGTAGCACTATCGGATAGGTTATTAATATCTAAGAATGGGATGTTTAATTGTAAAAGTCTGTCGGGGAGGTGTACACGATGTTTGGTGTATATGTCACATTTCCAAACCGGGGCCCGGCCGGGCTGTTTCCATTAACTAAAGATCAACAATCTCATGATCATAATATACGCAAATATTTCCATTATTTCAACTTTTTGTGTGTTTTGTTGTCCTTTATTTCATACTTCTCGTTTCATAAGACTGCCCGAACACAAAAAAACAAGTTCGTAAAACGTTTGAGCGTTCTAGTCTTCTAGAAGATGTTGAAGATGTCCACGTACGATGCTCAAGTACACATACGTACGTGCTGTACAACAAATTTCAACTAAAAACTGAATCACACATATATACACACACACATAGACCGATAGAAACAGATTATTTCAAACACTTACCACATTTTTTTTATTCCATTTAACATTTCATGACTAGACATGCTGACGGCACACTCAAGGTATATCAACTTATTTCATGCCGCCACCAACACAGAGGACGGATACAGGACAAGACAATACTCTTATTCAAGTGAGGAAAGTCATGTAAAGTGCCTTTCCCAAGGGCACAAGATCGGTGGCATGTCAGGATTCGAATCTGGGACCTCTTGGTTCCGAGTCGAGCACGCTGCCGCTACGCCATACGACTCCACAATACCATATTTTCTCATCTTTCATCACCTAGAAGATCACCAAAACGCCGTGTTCCTACTAAGATCATTATCATTATGCATAATGTGAGACAATTCATTATCCACTGCCTTCAAGAAGAAGTCAAACCTCATAATAGCAAGCGTTGAAGTAGAAGTATATTATTACAGTATAATTCAGTAGTTGTCTGTTCTTCTTTGTTTCTATAAAAGTAACTAGAGTTCCCCGATCTCATACCTTCGCCAAATGATGTTAATCTTTATGACTGACAAATTATAGATTAGATTATTCCCCCCTGATTTAAGAAATAGGAACCTAATTTTTCATGAATTATATCATTTTATCATAATCTCAACCAAAAAAAGTACTTATATTAACAAACAATGCATTCTAGCATTTCCTAATAAATTATGCAAATGAGGTCCTGATTTGAATAAATTATGTTTAATGATGTTCACCTCAATTTAACTTTCAAATACCACAAGTATGAAATTCCAGGCAGTTATCATTACATAATTATAAAATTTTCTCATTAATTATGCAAATTAGGTCATTATAAACATAATCAATATCTTCCTGTGTTTCTCTCGTTGTCAATTACCAATGTCACAAGCTTTAATTGTCCTATCATGGAATGCAGCTGATTTATAGAATTTCCCCATAAATTATGCAAATTATATCCATATTTGCATAATTATATGAAGGATCACGTAAGCTACCTACATACCAAAAATCACGACGATCCGTCAACCGGTTCTTGAGTTATCCCCTTTTGAATATTTTCAAGAATATATCGCTGCAGTTCCAGAGCAAGCCGCTAGGGGGCCTAAACTCACATCACTTCTTCCCCAGCACAAGAGCTACCTACCATCTAAATTTCATCACCATAGCATGTCTAGATCATGAGATATCAAAACCGGAAGTTCAGCTGCAGTACCATAACAAGCCGCTACGGGGTCCAAAATCTAATCATTTTGAGGTCTCATCAAGACCTACCCACCTACCAAGTATCAAGACAATCCATCAAGGCCTTCTCAAGTTATCGTGTTGACAGACAGACACACACACACACACACACACACACACACACACACACACATACACGAACGCCCCTGAAAACATAACCTTCTTGGCGAAGTTAATTAGCCTTAGCCTCGGGCATGATTTTGCAAATAAAGTATCTAGTACATTAATGTAACGTTACATACAATATTCTGCTACATAACCTGGCCTCATCTTATGTTCTAAAAACGTCAAGACATGTCTCAAGAGTTTTCTCAAGTCCCGTCGCCGTTCTCTTAGATAACGAAAACGGAAAGGTTGTGGGTGACAGGACCTTTCAAGAAAGGTCCTATCTCTCCCAGAAGTCAGAAAGTACTGAATTCAGTACTTAACAAGTGCCATCAGGCCTTAAGTTCAAGAGTCTTCGACACGGACCGACGTCAATTGTTGAGACGAAAAAAGTCTTAACTGTCCGTAAAAAAGAGTTGAAGAGAAGGGAAGGTGCTTGTCTTAAGGGTAATGGTGAAGAATAGTACGCCCTTAGACTTTAAGACTGTCGTTTCTGACGTCTATGCTTCTAACGTTATGCGTCTTGGCGATACTCGACATTTGTTAGAAGTACTCTGGAAGCAAACGCAGACGTTACATGTCGACATCGTTTCAATTGCCTGCGTTTTGCAAGTGACTTTGGTGCTGCTGTCTTTCGGAGACTTTTCAGAGCCCAGAGACGACCGACAAAACACTATCAGTATATACGTAAGTATAGTGAAAATATAATTCTAAAACGCCCTGCATGTCTGTCGAATTGTTGAAAGTATCATCCATAGCACAATCATCTACCGTTAAACTTTTATACAATCATCACAATGCCATGTTCGTAGATACGTGTTCTTGATCTTTTTAATATCGGGTACTTCAGAGCGGTCTTTGGCGGAAGGAACTAGAAAACTCAAGTGACATTTTCAGTGTACGTCAGCAGTAGCACAGCACACGTGCGTGTGTGGGCGTTCGAACCAGATAAAAAGGTCGACCAGAAATCTGAAACGGCCACTCTCTACCGAGGAAGTCCTGGAGTCAGCTGTCTCGAAGCCATCCCGCATTGGACAACTGTCTACTTCCTGTTAAAGGTATGTTGGACTTTTCTAGATCTTTAGAAGTTGTGTTCCAACCGCGCGATGTGGCGTAAGGACAGGACGTTCGGCTCGGAACCAAGAGGTACCGGGTTCGAATCCTGCCATGCCGCCGATCTTGTGCCCTCTCCTTATCAGAGGTGTGTTGGACTTTTCTTTGGAAGTTGTGTTCCAACGGCGCGATGTGGCGAAACGACAGGGCGTTCGGCTCGGAACCAAGAGGTACCGGGTTCGAATCCTGCCATGCCACCGATAAAGGCACTCGGGAAAGGCACTTTACACGAATTTCCTCACATTATTCGGGTGAAAATGAGCATGTCTGTTGTGTCCGTTTGTCTGCGTTGGTGGCCGCATAAAGATAAGTTGAAAAAACATGAGTGTACCGTCGCCGTGTATTCTTTTATTTTGAGGCAGCTGCCTTCAACTAGCTGAAGATTCTTCTGCCTTTTTGTGGCTCATACGAGATGGGGTTCGCCAGGCCTCCATCCAGAAAAGTCGTGTAAAGTGCCTTTCCCAAGGGCACAAGATCGGTGACATGGCAGGGATCGAACCCTGGCCCTCTTGGTTCCAAGTCGAACGCTCTGCTGTTACGCCACACGACCCATTATGTCTTGTCATAAATGTTGGAATAGAATTTTAATTCTATCAAAAAAGGCGCGACCACATTCGTCGAAGGTCGCCGTACGATTTTAATGCGGTAGAATTTTGAAACTGTGACAGAATTCGAACCAACCGCCGACAAATCTAAGACACTCAAAGAATGCACAAAACAAATGATACATCTTGCAGAGGAACAAATATTAACGCAATCAACAATTCGTGGACAATTTTGTAGTCCATCGCGCGATTCTTTAAGATAAGCATTCGAAGCCGGGACCTCTTGGTTCCTAGTCGAGCACTCTGTCGTTACGCCACAAGTACACGACCCCGCGACTAAGGAACTGTTGACATGACACCCTTCTGAGCTTACGTATAGCTGCTTCACATCTACGTTAATCCAAAGTTGTCAAATGGTCGAAGGGAATTCCAACGATCCTACAGCGTTTTCTCCAGTATGATCCATTATTGGGTGTTTCCTAGGTGCCTTAGATATAGTGGCATGGTAATTTTGTTTGTTTCGCATAACCGGCAAACCGCCTTTAGGCGTAACACAACAGTTTTGTACATGTACGCACAAGCTGCGTAAGACCGGACTGTAAGGTTTGAACCACTCACACCGGGAAGGTCTCCTACTCTTTTCGATAAGTGCGGTGGGTTCTTTAACGTGCGTAGCCGTGGGGGGGGGGGCTCTCCCAAACACGGGACCTCCATTTAAAGTCCTATCCTAGAGGACGTCCCTAACCGAAGCTAGGTACTCATTTACACCCTCAAGTGAGGAAAGTCGTGTAAAGTTCCCAATGGTACAAGATCGGTAGCATCGGGTTGGATTCGAACCCGGGACCTCTTGGGTCTGAGCCGAACACTCTACCGTTACGCCACACGACCCCAATTTCGAGGGACTGAAAGGTGTCTTAAGAAAAAAGCCATTGCCCTATACAAGCCGGATGCTGTGATCAGAAAAGCATTAATAGTATTAAGCCTACATTCCTTGACGCGACGAATCTTAAATATCACGCCTTATAATCTGAAAGGTGATTGGACCAGCTCCGACGATTAGTAGTGTACTATTTCTCAGAAAACAGACATCCGATACGAATGACTTTTACTGTGGCCACGTGACCCCGCACTTAAGGGCGTTCTATTTTCAATTAAGATCGAAGTGATCACCTGTTGGCATTTCATCCATCGCCTAAGTGCTATCAAGTTGAATTTCCTGTCAATCTATATTTTAACGCTATTATGTTCCCTTGGTGATAGAAATAAACAGCAGAATATAGGTGGTATAGCAGCCCCCAGAGTACTCCTCTCGCATCCAGTTCTTTTCCACAAAGGCTGTTGGCTTAACAAACAGCAGAGACAATATTGTCATCAGGGAGTCTATTTAGCACATTGCATTTCATTTATGTGTATTCTGTGTAGCAATGATCACACAAAATAAAGTGGGGTTGTGTGGCGTAACGATAGAGTGTTCGGCTCAGATCCAAGAGGTCTCGGGTTCGAATCCTGCCCGATGCCATCGATCTTGTGCCCTTGGGAATGGCTCTTTACACGAATTTCCTCACTTAACTCAGGTAAAATGAGTACCTAGCTTCGGTTAGGACGATAAATGGGGGTCCCGTGTTTGGAAAAGCCACACCCCGCACATTAAAGAACCCACCACACTTATCGAAAAGAGTAGGGCAGAGTGGTTCAAACCTTACAGTCTAGCCTTATGCGGCTTGTACTTTACATGTTCAAAACTGGTGTGTTACACACAAAAAAACATAACACAATACGACACGTTACCTGACTCTGTGCGGCGTACGAAAATTAAGCTTCATCGTCTTCCATACTGCTTATTCCAAAGCTTCAATGTCAATGTTTATATGGATCTTCTATATGCTACCATGCTACTTGCCGTAGTGCTCAGTAGCTCCAATAAGATCATGTGCTCACATACATATCACCTCCGTAAGACATCACGCTACTTGTCTACGAAGACTTTGAAAGTTGCCACGCCATTTTTGCGCTTTGCAGTAAGTTTCTATGCTATATAAAGCTGTGTGCAGTTTTTTCCAGTAGCCCAAGTAAGACACTCATTCTTACTGTTCACAGAGACCGTGCGTAAGATGTACATGCCCCGCTGCTTGCCGCTGTGTGCCATGGTGCTGTCCGTGGTGCTGCTGTCCGTGCTGTCGCGCACAGCCGCCCAGGACAGCAGCTCGGGGCGGATGTGCGGCCGTCTGCTAGTCCGGCGGTTCCAGCAGCTGTGCATGGACCTCAAGCGACGCCGCAGCCTGGACGACACCGCGACCGAGCCATCCTTGGTGTCCCGCCTGAACCCACACCTCGCTCTAACCACCCATTGGGAAAATGGTGAGTGCAATTATACCTGACTACCTGCCATGCGTTGGTAAGAACTGGTCCCTTGCTCCTCTTCATTTTTTCCCGCCAGGCAGTACGGTCCTTAATCTTTTGTTCAGCAACCTTGAGTGACCATCCAGTATCATATACTAATTAAATTTGGTCCCGCCATCTTTTAAAGGAGTCTTCTTCTAGGCCTGGGGTTTTCTAAGTCCTGGTGGTAGGCCCCATATACAAAAGAGTCTTGGGGTCTTCTCTAGGTCTCTCTCTACCGTTTTACACACATACAAATGAAAACCTCTCTCCGCTTTACATCCGAAAACCAACAAATTACAGAAAAATGGGATCTTTCGTCTTCCTTTGTCTTAAAAAAAGACGTCAAACCCATTGGTTTTTAGGAGTTCTTAATATATATATATAATGTGTCAATGCATTGTCTGTTCTTATTCCAAATGTTTCCTCTATACTTTGAATAAGCCCTTGGACATGATTTTGCAATAAAAACAATTAAAAAAAGACGTCAAACCCATTGGTTTTTAGGAGTTCTTAATAATATATATATAATGTGTCAATGCATTGTCTGTTCTTATTCCAAATGTTTCCTCTATACTTTGAATAAGCCCTTGGACATGATTTTGCAATAAAAACAACTTAATTAACCTTCGCTTTCTCTTGACCGCAGTGGCAGAGACAAAACCAGCAGAGGGCGGCCTTCAGCTGAAGAACAAGCGGGACCCTGACTCCGACGCTCCGGCTACCGACATCTTCGACGTCTGCTGCGAGCGCGGTTGTTCCACCGAGGAGCTGGTCATCTACTGCGGCATCTGGCACACCTTCTAGTGGCCCAAACCAGCGACTAGGAACCATGTAAGGCCATGTTGATTTGATTATATGGATGACATCCTCTGGGAACCCCAAAACTGACGCGAGAGTGCGAATAAAAAGAGTTTGGCAAGAAAAAAATTTTCTTCATTATGAAATCCACGCGGTCATAGAGGTTGAACAAATGACTAAACACACAGAGTATGGTATGGCGACTCTTCATTTTCATTTCTTTACATTTTTTTCTTTTTCTGAATTGATTTCGGCATTCTATGACATTAGTATCGTTTTCCAATAGTTTTTTTTTGCAACATACGACTTATATTCGCTCATTTTGTACCATTTACAGTGTGGTTGAACACTTTTTTTTTTGAAACAGGCGAAAATTCATGCAGATGTCATCCATATAATCAAATCAACATGGCCTAAGGGCGACAAGTAGGTAGACAGAGCGCGGTAAATACGGATACGCCCGAGAATGCATGCTTTGATGTACAGCAATTTTGCTTTTGTTGACTATCATCACAAAGCTAGACAAAGAGAATTTTTGTTCCCGCTGACGTTGCTTCGTTGTTGATAATAATCATGAGTTATAATCATGAATTATTACAAAGACACAGATGTAATGAGGTAGTTTAAATGTGCAGATATCTATTCTTGCCATATCTGCTTTTCGAAGTCATGTATTTTGACCGGCATTATAACATTACACAGTTGTGTAGGTAATGAATTCCACGACCCCGCGATGCCTTTGTAACATGAAATGGTTTTCTTGCAATAAAGCTGCCTCATTCCACTACACTGGTTTTCTTCTTTGAAGTTAAGGTAATGATGATCTCCTGCACTCCTGCACAGGAAAACAAAGTAGTCAACAGGGTGGGGGTTCAATGTTTACATTTTGTTTGTTACCATCGCCAAGAAGGTTATGTTTTCAGTAGCGTTTGTCTGTGTGTGTGTGTGTGTGTGCATGTGTGTGTGTGTGTGTGGTTTAGCAAGATATCTCAACAACCTTTGGATGGATTGTCATGAAAGTTGGTAGGTAGGTAGGTATTGATGGGACCTAGAAATGCTTAGATTTTGAGCCCCCTGACGGCTTTTGTTGGTACTGCAGCAGAACTTCTGGTTTTGATATCTCGTGATCTGGACATGCTAGGGTCACAAATTTTGGGGGTAGATAGCTCTTGGGCTAGTGAAGAACTGACATGAGTTTGGACCCCCTAGCAGCTTGTTAACAATCAAGTTTACCTGTTTCAAACTCAACTTAAAAAGGTCCTATCCTTGACGGGGTACATTAGGTATGATGATCTCTTAAAATTATTTTAACCTTTTTAAATAAGACCATCCTTGTGAGCTGAAGAGAAAGTCACACATCTGAAGTCTACATTATTTTAATATTGGGAAAAAAAGACAAAAGTTATGATAATGTTACTGCATTATGGAATTTGTCTTTACCCATCCTATGCACAATACATTCTTGTTGTCTTGTATCTCCTATTTGTATATCATAACGAGATGATTTCTAAAAAATCGATGAACCCACTTTAGATATTCACTATATCCATAGGCAGACGTTTGTCTGTGTGTGTGTGTGTGTGTGTGGTTTAGCAAGATATCTCAAGAACCTTTGGATGGATTGTCATGAAAGTTGGTAGGTAGGTAGGTACTGATGGGACCTAGAAATGATTAGATTTTGGGCCCCCTGACGGCTTTTGTTGGTACTGCAGCAGAACTTCTGGTTTTGATATCTCGCGATCTGGACATGCTAGGGTCACAAATTTTGGGTGGTAGATAGCTCTTGGGCTAGTGAAGAACTGACATGAGTTTGGACCCCCTAGCAGCTTGTTAACAATCAACTTTACCTGTTTCAAACTCAACTTAAAAGGTCCTATCCTTGACCAGGTACATTAGGTATGATGATCTCTTAAAATTATTTTAACCTTTTTAAATAAGACAATCCTTGTGAACTGAAAAGAAAATCACACATCTGAAGTCTACATTTTTTTTAATACCGGGGAAAAAAAGACAAAATTTGTGACAATATTTAATGTTACTGCATTACGGAATTTGTCTTTACCCATCCTATGCACAATACAGTCTTGCTGTCTTGTATCTCCTATCTGTATATCATAACGAGATGATTTATAAACAAATTTCTAAAAAAAATCGATTAACACGCTGAAGATCATCCCCACAACTATAGGCAGACATGAACGTTTTGCTTTGTACGTTTCTTGTTCAAGCATTACTCCCTCTTTTCCAATGTCATTACTAGTCATTACTAGAATCATGCTAGTTTCGAAATTGAATGGAAGTTCCATGACTTTCAAGTACAGTACTTGAAAATACAACTGTCCTAAAACGTTTCAAAAAGGTCAAAGTCTTGCTGGCATCAAAGTTGGAGTGTTACGCTGAAGGTATACTGGCTATACCGATACAAATACAGATGTTGAAGATTTTGCAGCTTTCGGTTTCTTGGGTCGACTACGCGTGTTCGACTACGTGATTTTACGAGGGGCAGGAAACAACTGGAGACTGCACGGGTTTCTCCTCGGCACTGTCCGAAGTTGTGCTGTTCCTGGTGCCTCGACGGAACAGCTGCACGCTGAGTTTGTACAGCTCGTTGTCCACCACACCAGTGGAGTACGGAACCGGTGGGGCAACCTGGGTGGACAGCAGCAAAATACAGTTATCATGAAAGTTCTGTGTTGGTAGTAATCATAGTAAACTGTTGAATTTCATTCCAACATAAGGGTTACACAGAGATCAAATTTTCAACGGCCACTGTCGCCTTCATCAGAAATAATTCATGACCAATCACTTCCAAATGTAAACTCATGAGAGCTATGGTTACAGACACGCAACCTTATGACCTTATTTACATGAGACTTTACGGATAGGCGACGTAAGCAATTGATCAAACGTGCCAGGGAGTTTATACTGTCTACCTTCTCTAAGCAAAATAAAGTGTCTTTCAAATAATGTGAATACTTTGATGTATACCAAAGCTAGGTACTTGTTTTCACCTGAGTCGAGTGAGGAAATTGTAAAGTGTGTAAAGTGCCTTTCTCAATGGCACGACGTTGCAGCCTGCCAGGGATTTGAACCCAAAACCTTTAGATTCTAAGTCTACAACCCTAACCACAAGACCACCTTGCAAACTTTACCAAAAAAAAAAAACAAAAAACTTCATACCTTGTCTCCTTTCTTTAGCTGCTTCCTAATCTCCAGGTCCCGTCTGGCGCAGAGTGCCCGGCGGCAAGGCCCCACATCACTCAGCAGATTCTTCCGTTGTCGGCGCCTTCTCATAGCGGCAAAGTTGAACGCTCCAATCGGGTGGTCGAAGATTGGGCTAGGTGGCCTTGCAGCCTCTCCTAGGACAAAAAACGATTCAGACTGACTTTAGAGCAACTGTGTGAGCTCTTCAGTAGAGTACATTGCATACTTAACCTTTAACACACCTTTCCGGTCAAACACCTACTAGTAAGCCCCACCCCGTTCTATTTCGAACACCTCGGTTAAAATCAGCGCGGGAAGGACCGCACAGGCTGCCGCTGTTCAGTGTGGGTTTTGCCGCTTAATTTTACGGTCAAGTTTTCGGCAGCGAAAAACTCTCTCAGCAGCCCCTAAAAAAGGGTTACGCTATCTTCGTTGCAGTACACATCCACGGAGTAAAACTTATTTGAGGAGGGGACAGAATGCTCTGCCGTTACGCCACACGACTCCACAACTGTCCACACCTAATGGTCTATTTGTTACAGGTTAGGCAGCAGGGAAAAGGTTAAACACTTATACAATAAAATTCCCCTATTCGACTTTCAGTGTCGAAATCACACTATGGGTAAGGAGATCATTCTGTAGTGTTTTACACAGTCAAGTAACCAAACTTACAAAAACAGGAACAAAAAGGTGGGGTCGTGTGGCCTAACGGCAGAGTGCTCGACTCGGAACCAAGAGGTCCCAGGTTCGAGTCCTGACGTGCCACTGATCGTGTGCCCTTGGGAACATGACTTTCCTCACTTAACTCAAGTGGAAATGAGTATTGTCTGTCTTGTATTTGTTTCTGTGTGTGGGACACAACACCAGCAACAGCTGCCTTTGTCCTACGTGTATTGCACTTTCGAAATTTCAATAAATCAAATCAAATAAAAAATACTGACCTTTTTCCTTCACCTCCTCCTCTGCCGCTGCCCTACAGGCCTCCTTCACTCTCGCCATGAGTTTTTCCCCAGCCAGAGTTGGGGAGATCCCGATCCGAGCCAGCACGTGGCCTGGCTTGAACTTCTTCAGGATGGCGCCCGGCTCCTTGGGTTCCTTTGGTTTGTTGACCTGCATGAGGCTGGCCCAGTCCACCTCAATTACATCTGCTGCTTCTAGGTATACGGGACACAAAGAAGTGGAATTCTTCATTGCAAAAGAAGTTGAAAAAAACAACAACTCAAAGGCAGATAAATAGATGAGAAGGTTGTTTAAAGGCATCCAATACAATTTTTAGGGCTTGGAAGCCAGAATTTTCAAGGTCAACAATATAGTCACTTATCTACATATTAAGTTGAAACCACACTATCCCAATGTGTATCAAACTCATGGAGCAAAAATGCCCAAAATTGTGATGAAAAATGGTTACTGGAAGGATCCTGGGCTGATTTTTAGGGTACCACCCAGAAAATAAAGGACTCATTTTGGGGCTTGTTTCTGCCGTTCTAAACGGCCAAAGAATGAAATAATGAATCAATGTGAGGCAATATGTGTCAATGTCATACAGATTTCCTTGTTTAGAATATTTCCAGCTTTGCTGCCCTGAAATTGCATTGGATGCCTTAAAAAATACAAGTATTTACCACGTTTTTCCTCTTCCTTGGTGTCTGTCTGGTCAGCCTCCTTCATGGCTTCTTCGTCCATCATGGCGTCTAGTTCGTCATCGCTGATAGCTTCGTAAACGTCCTCCTCGGTCTGGGTCGTGGTGACCTCCGGTTCAGCGGAAGCTGGTTTCTCTTCCAACAGCTCGGCAGGAGCTCCGTTGGTCTCACTGGAGGGTTTTTCCTCCGTGAGTACAGAAGAGTCGACTGATGACACTTCTTCGTACTTCTGCTGCACTTGTTCCA